CACTACAATAATTATAACCAAATTACAAAATTAAAAATACTACAATTTTTAATTAATAAATCAAACTAAACTTAATTTACAATACCTATTACCAACCACCCCCCCTTGTTTTCCACCAGATCGATCTAGGGTTTTTGAAATCCTCTCATTCCTCACGCAGTGGCCTTCTTCGTTCATTTATCGGCGTTCTTTATATTTTCTCCCAAGTTCTACCTATGATGTCGCTTGCCCCTCGGTCTCCGGCGCCGGCCGAAGGGCGTTCCCCTTTACAGAGGGTTGGACGTCCCTCGAACCGTGATCTGAGTTCTCTAGTTTTCGAATCCGATGGCTTATTTGATTCACTGCTCGATTCCGACAAAATCGTCGAAGAGGTGGCCAGATCTACACCATTAGCCGTCGTTTCGGTTGTTCCCCTTGGTTTCGTTCCCGATTCGGAATCGGAGCAGGAACCGGAGAACGAGCTCCGTTTTACGGCTGTCCGTCGACCTCAAACATTGTTCCGGCGTTTCTCCTGCATGACCCGTCATCGAATGGAAGTGGCTTCCTCGAGCTGCTCTTCGACTCGCGAGGTTGTGCTAAGTATGCTTAGTATTCTTTGTCCTCTCGCAGCCGATAAACCGATGATCCGTGATGGAGGTATCTTCTTGATTCCTATTCCAGATATTTTGTTCTCTTATTTGTAATACTCAAAAGTTTAGAAATTTTTTGTTAGAATTAAATATTTTAAGTCTTCATTTAAAAATTTCAAGTGCTAATGCTGATACTCAATTATGTTGTTTGTAGGCACCCTCACTAACCGTTCGGATTAGGTATTGAGAGTCCCTCAATACGGGAAGTCAATATATACGGCTGAGGTATATTTTCGGCTTACTGTATGCTTTAGCTGGCTTGATATGGATTTACTGGCAATGGGAATATGTGTGGGCAATCGTTGTTGTTAGTTGGAATAGACAGCCTAAGATGATGATATGTTTCCTTTACATTATATCTGAATGTGCCTTGCTTTAATACGAGATTTGGAGACTTATACTAAGTATAATGTCATCACTCGCATTATGTGAGCACTGACCCTTAGTGAATTCATTAAATTGTAAAGTTATTTAGTGAATTCTAACACTCGATGATCATTATAATGAGAAAGTGTTTGTCCTTTGTCTCAAGCTCAATGATGATATTATAATTTGAGAGCCAAAAGCCCCAAACCTACAAAAAAAAAAACTCACTAAATGTTTAACAATACAGTATCTTTCCGCACTCTGTGATGATAATACAATCTGAGAGTGACATCCTTTGTAATGTGTAATGAAATAGTATATGGAAATTGTAATCATAAACATTTAGTGAGAAGGATGATGAGTTTGTATTACAACTACTTTTATATTGTTTTCCAATAACACATCAATAGTTGTTATCAAACTCATTTACAAAAAGACTTCTACTTGCAATTAATTTCATTAAGTTCCACTATTACTTACAAAAAGTGAAAGTTGGGCAAAATATATACCTTCTCAGTCATTCAACTCATTTCCTCAATATACGTAATGAGATCTTCCAAACCTTGAGTGTCATTTGTTTCCATAAGGATGTCAATACTTGACTTGATTAGCTCTCGATCAATCTCCAAGTTTGTAGGCAAATTATTAGTCTTTGCCATAGCCGTTTTACCAATATGAGGAAGTTTGTAGTTATTTCCACCATTGCATACCATAATTTCCCTAAGACATGCCTGCAAACTTAAGAAAACATTGTTCAATGTTGTGTGGGTGAATTCTTCAAATGATTTTGTAACAACAGCAAGCAATTCATCTACTGTACTTGCTGCTATTGTAATTTGTAAGGATTGAATTGCCCGAAACCAGCCCAAGTCATTTATGTTGGTATCCGAGGTGTTTGAGGGCTGGAAAATAAGGTGGATATCAAAGCCATCGGCACTTGCAGCCTTCCTAAAGTCCGGATCATTATCATCAATACGTGGTTTAGCATTATCTTGTTGTATAAGAATCTTTCTACTTTCTGTTTTCGGCCACTTTTTCTTTAATGTTGGAAGTACCTGCAAGTTTTTATAATTTGAAAATAGGCTTTTCAAAATAAAAAATACATTTACTATATAAAAAATGTATACCTGATTGATCATGATAGTTTTTGTGACATCTTTTGTGATTGATTCCAAAGGTTTTGTTTCGAAAGTGCCTGCTGGCCGGTTCTTACTGCTTCTCTTGGCTGGAACGTTATGGGTGAATGGAAAAATTCCTATTTTTCCATCAAATAAACATTTTCCCTCATCTCCATAAATAGGTCTACTTACCGCACAAATGAACATTACTTTTGTAATGAACCTTTTACTTTGGCATGACCTATAAGGTTCTGTTTCATCCGGTGTGAGGTAGTACCTTTTTGTTTGACGTGTCATATAAAACCATTTTTCATCTATATGCACTGTATTTGTCATACTCTTAAACCAAATGACATTCATGTCTGTCCCTATTTCAACCGAATTTAGACTGAACTTCAGCCTACTAATTCGGTTCATTTATGTGAGTGCGGGTTTAATAGCATTACTATGAGGCCTGATCAAGCCTTGTTTGGCCCATCTTTCAACAGTTGTTTTGCTCACACACAATTCCTTAGCCACACTTTGGTAAGAGCCACGCTTGCTATATGGTATGCTTTGCAAGCTTGAACGGTCGAAAATTTTGCTTTTTGGCTGACCTTTTTCAATCATTTGGCTATGTAGTGAAATTGGCATACGTGATTGTTGTTGAAGCACTGCTCGTTGCCATATTTTTTTAACTATAATGCGTGACACTCCAAACTTTACAGCTGCTTCATTTATTTTTCCATGTGGCGGACGACCGTTGCTGCTGTTCGGCAAAAGAAATTGGGCTATATTGTTGAGTTCATCGGTGGTAAGATTTTTTCTTGTCATGTTGAAAGTGGAAAATTATTTTAGATGGCCAAAAACTGTATGAATGATTGGAATTTATAGTTGATGAGGTATAAAAAATTTATATATATTTGGAGGGAGATTAAGTAAAATTTAGGAGGGAAGTGAAACTTTTTCACTCCTAAGTTTTACTGTCTGCTGAGTTGACTGATTTGATACTTTTATTCATTTTTATTTTGCATTTTATTCTATCACTAATTTTTTATTTTATTTTACAGTGTGTTTTTTTTTTTAAAAAAATTATCTTTACTAGTTATAAGGTTTGTGAAATTGGAAGAATATTTAATTTTTAATTCCTATTTTATTCAATGTAATTTTAATTTGGAGATATTTAATTTTACATTTTTTTAGGTTCTAAACTAATTAATGTTGCATTGTAACGGGGATATTATGCCATATTTTGTGAAATTGAACAATATTGTAAAATTAATTTTGTCTTAATTAATTTATTTATTTAGGAATGTAATTTTTTTTAACATGTAATTAATTTTGCCTTAATTTTATTGTCTAATTATTATGGAAGATATTAAGGTTTAGATTACATTACAATTAAATTTTAACTTGAGGGCATTTTAGTCATTTTATTTTTATTTCTACTATATCACACTATAATATTAATATTCCTAAAATCCCGTGGATAAACAAAATGGATAGATAGATTGGGGACGGAGGGAGTATAATTTATAATTTTTTAAAAAAAATTTACCAAAAATATTTTTCATAAATTCTCATTCGTTAAAACTCTATTTTTATCCGGTTAATCATTTATTATTGTTTGATCATTCATATATTGCATTTTTTTTTATATATTTCTCAACTAAATTCTTTGCTTTATTCAGAATTAATTCTCATTCTCTACTAATTTCATTTCTCTCAAATTCCATTATCTACTCTAATTTCTCTGCAATTCTATTTTCTGTACCAAACGCCCCCTGAGGGTGTGTTTGTTTGGGGGATTGGATTTTAAATTCACTGTCCATCCCATTTTTCCCCCAAAAACATCAAATCAAACACTTATTTTTCATTTTTATATTATCTTAAAAATCAATTTTACATTCAAAACATCACATCAACACCTATTTATATCACATCATACAACCATTCAAATTCAAAATTTTTATTATTTAAATCTCAACTCAAAATCCAAATCCCCAAATAAACACAAACTAAGATTAAATATAATTTTAAATTATATTTTATAAAAATAAAATGAGTAAGTAATAGAGCTATAGGAGTAGGAAAAATTGACATAGATGATTTGATACATTTTTAATAAAAGTTCTTGATTTTTTACTTTCTAAAAATTATTATTATTATTATTATATATATATATATATGTATTAATTTTTACTCAATTCTTTATATATTATACTTAAATTATACTATTTATGTTCTACTTTTTGGTTTTTTTTAGATACGAAAATTTAACTATATAAATAATAAATAATTAAAAAATATATTAGTAAAAAGAATTATTGTTTAAAATTAATTATAGATTAAAATTTATATATCTAAATAATATAATTAAAATTTAAAAATTATAAATTATGAAATTTAAAATATGATTAAATTGTATAATTATATTTTTACACTCAAGAGATTACAATTACATAATGATCACTCTTTTAAGTTTAAACATTTTGAATTTGTTTTTGTTTTATGCTCTTATTTTGAAGGAATTTTTTTATATATAAAATATATAAAATTGTATAAATAATACAAAAATAATGAATGTATAATATATTATTTTTTTAAAAAAATATGTTGAGTATTTTTAACAAAAAGAACATTCGTATTATTTTTGATATTTTATATGAAAAATTATATTTCACTATATAATATGAGAAGCAAACCTTTTGGATGTATTTGTTTGAGATTTGGATATTGAGTTTGAAATTTGAATATATATTGAATTAAAATTTGTTGTATAATTTGAGAAGTAAAATTAATTTTTAATATAATATAAAAAAATAAATAAATAATTGATCCACTTTACAAAATTTAATACTAAATGATAAAAATCTCAAAATAACGCACCTTTTAATTTTTCAAACCTGTAATAGTAACTGTTGAATGCGTGCCGCACTTTGATTAACCTCCAGACTCCACAATTTAAGGATTCGAACAAGCAAGAATGGCGGCTCCCGGAAAATGCTTTCTCGTCACCGGCCCTCCGGTAACGTTGTCGATCTAACAAGTTTTGCGTCAGCAAATTTACTGATGATAATTTTCGGCAGCTCTGAGTCTGGTGCATTGTGCAGGGGGTGGGCAAAACCACTTTAATCATCCGAGTGCTGGAGGCTCTCAAACAATCAAATTCCAGCTTAAAGATTCAAGGCTTCTATACTCGTGAGCTTTCATTAATTTTCCTATTGATATATTATTATTTATGATGAATACTTAGTTAGGGATTTCCGTTTTTATGTGCAAGCAAGTTTGTATTCTTAGTGATACTGTTTGTTGAGAGTATGAATTAATGTTGGGAGTCTTACGGGGTGAAGGGCTACTGCACTTCATACTTGGTACTCCACTCCATTTCATATTCAGAACCCCGGAACCCTTCTAACACTCTTGTCAAATTGTTTTCGAACTGTCTGGGGAAAAACCATCAACGCTTCAAAATCATTGATTGGAAATTGGTTGCTGTTTATATGTGAAATATTGAGTGTGATTTGATTTAATTGACTTGGTGTAGGTGAAGTGAGGGAAGGGGCGGAACGTGTAGGGTTTGAAGTGGTTACTATTGACGGTCGTAGAGTCCCTCTTGCATCAACCAATGCGTCCAGGTATTGTTGCTTCGTGTATTCTAGTGTTCACTGTTGTCTAATTGCTTACGTGCACTCTGTTTTTTTCTTTAAAATGGTCTCTACTTTTTGAATATGTGGTGTTGAATCATCATCAGAATACGGTAATACATATATATCTATGTTGAGCAAGGATGGATTTTGTTTATCATGAGAATGCATTTGGCTAATTGTCCTGCACAACTCTCTTGTACTCTACACTTGCACACTCACTTGTACTTCTAATTGATTGTGACTACAATCTTCGTCAAGGCGTCCCCTGTTTATAGGTTGTCTAATCTACTTTCCAAAACACACCAATCCCTAACATTGATAACTCACCAACTGCAATATTAATTATTCACCAAACACATATATTGATTTGCCAATCCCATGCTAATTCAAGTTTAGTTTCCAACAATATATGTATATTGTATTTGGATTGTGCTTTGAAAATTGTTTTACATGCCCTTCTTCAATTATTCATGTAATTTGAGGCTTTGAAACTTCTGTAACCACATGTTTCTAAACAACATAATGTTTTCCTTAGTTTGAGGTAGGGGTTTACAATTTCAGCATTACCATTTCACTAATCAAGTTCAGGAGTTAGTATTTATAGATTATGTTTAGGGTTAATCTGAATTGGGCCCAAACTCCAATAAGCCCATTAGCGTTAACTATCCCTAAAGAAGCTTACACCTCCCACTTGGAGGCTTTCAAACATCTGCCCCACACTGCATAATCTTTGTAAAAATGTGTTGGATTCATAGCGCCTGAGATGTTCTTTAACTTTATTGTTCCTTCACTGATCAATCTTCTGATAAAGTGACATCTTATCTCAATATGTTTCATTTTCCCTTGATAAACCGGATTTTTGACAAGTTAATTGCACTCTCATTGTCACAGTGTCATGAATAGTCTGTCTGCTTTTTTATCCAACTCTAAGAGAAAGTTCTTTAACCAAATTAACTCTTTGCTAGCCTCAGCAACTGCCATATACACAGCTTGTTGTCGAAAGCGCCACACTTTTCTGAAGTTTAGACATCCAGCTAAATGCAGTTCCTCCCAGTGCAAAGCAAAGATATACCCTTCAGTGCTCTTAAGCATCTTTTTGAGAAATAGGTGCTACACCAAAACTTCTTCGAACACCTAAAATAAGGTCAACTCCTAAAGCGTAGTTATATAATGGTTACAACAACCTACTACCAACAGTTCGAATGTAGAAATACAAACAGTAAATGAGCCAAGGGTTTGTTAACCCGGTTCGGTTATAAATCAACCCATATTCTGGGGATACCAATCCAGTAGTTCCACTAATAAGTGCTGATTAAAAAACATAGACAAACCACAACTTCTTCCTTTTAGAATTGTTACCTTGGAAACTCCTCTACAAGCTTACGTTGTTACGAACTCGTATTGACAACTACCATAGAGCAGGGCTGGTCAGAATCTGGACATCTCTTCTAATTGGAACTTCAATAACTCTTTCTTTTGGTGAACTCTCTGGTGGGTTAAAGTGATAAACACTCACTCAGAACATAGAGAAGAGAAGGGGCAGGGAGCATCGAACAACTCTTTGTCTCTCTAAGCAAAACTCACAAAACCCTACTAAGAACCAAAAACCCTTCCCGGTTTACAAAACCAAAATCCATGTTGTGCATGCAAAACGAAACCAATTAAATCCCTTCGTATATAAATGGAATGGTGTGTTCTTACATGATTCTGATGCCAAGTTGACCACCCCAATTCATTCTTTTTGTCTTGAGTGTCATCTAACCTAAGAAAGAAAAAATCACGAACATACAAGAGTTCCAGTCTGATAGTTGCAACAACAGGCTGGGTCAACTTATTGTTTATGGATTTTGGCGACGACAGCAGCAGGAACGAAGGGAAGTGCCCATATGCCAAAACGGGCAAGGGAATTTCATCTTCCAGCATTCTCCATTTTTTGGCATATGGGACTTCGCCCAATGTGCAGGAGAAGGACTCCCACACCCTACCAAACAATCTAATAATTGGAAAAATAAGTTTATCACTTCGTTACAGGCCAAAACAATATAAAGGCTATAGGCAGCCTTACCCAATAGGATGGTTGTGATTACAACCAACACACAACCACCACAACAGTCAAAACACAAAATAAAAAACAACTTGCCACTAGTTCAAGAAGCATCAGCAGAACAACAGCAGAATCCATAAGCTCCTTCCTGAGCTCCCCTTAACCTGCACATCTCTCCCTCTCTAGGAGCAGATGCCAAAAAACAAACAGCACGATGATCTAAAAGGACTTCGAGTCCTCTTCCTCTTCCTTATCAAGGGCAAAAACGACATTTGGAAGTAAACTGATAGCACGGGACATTTTTGGCGGTGATCACCCAAGGCGACCATGATGGCCAACTGCTCTTGGATGACTTCCTGCAGCAGCCGGCGAGCTTCCAAGAGTTGACTAGTGACATCCAGTGGGGCGTCCTCGACAATGTCATTGTGAAGCCGCAAAATGTTAGGCTTCAGTTTGAATACACCGAGTTAGACTACATCTTCAATTGGATCAAGCACGATCCCATTCTCTTTCAGCAGAAAGGTTATCAAGGCGGGGTATAGTAGCTTAGTGGCTTCAAACTTCTGACCCCGGCATACTTGATCATCTTGGACAGCACCACAAAGCCAAAGTTGATGTTAGGACAAAATTTGTCAACGGAGTACATCAACTTACCCATCCCAGAACCAATGCTTGAAACATTGCTTGTTGGGAACACATTCAAAGCATAGAACCTAAAGAGGCACCGGAACTTTAGTGTGTATTCTATTGCATCAAGTCATTTCCTTCCGAAATCTCCAAATTTTCTAGCAGACAGATAGAGAGCCACATCTCTGTTTGATTCCTTCATCAATGCAGATGGGAGTTCTCCAGGTTGTCCTGAGCCAGTTTTAACAACTTGTTGATGACTCGAGGGCTCAACTTAAATACTTTTCCTCGAACATAGGCCCTGTGGAATGATAACTCTAAATAATAGCATATTTTTCGCTTAACAAAATTGTGTATTACTTAAATTTTTATGTGAAAACCATCACAATATCTGATTCATGACATACTTTATTGAATTATTTAGCTTGGTATGATCTAGAGCGCGTCTGTTGAGATTATTAACGTTTTTGGCCTGTTTAAGCGATGTTTCTAGTCTAGAAAGCCAAGTGTCAAACGACGGCGTCTTCGCTCGACAAGCGATGCCCCTTCTGCTCAAGCCAGCGCTAGCGACCAGACATCCACCGTAGCGAAGCGAGAGTGAACCACTCCATAAATTCACCAAGTGTTCATCTTTCAGCGGTTTAGCCATTCCGATACCAGCCAGTGACGATAGCATCACTTAAGCTGAGCTGATGCCCTCAAGCCATCTAGGCAAGAGAGGAAGGTTTGCACCATTATATTCTAAAGTGAGCAAAGCGGCACTCAGGGAGTTACGGCCGGTGCAACTGCTCCAACAGATTAACCGCTACAAACTGCCTAACTGCCTAAGCAGTTTCAACTGCCGCTTAACTGCTTTGCAAATGCTATCTCCACAGATCTATAAATAGGGACAACAACCTTTTATAAAGAAAATATACATACTTTCAAGTATAGGTTTTTCTGCAGATTTTTAGAGCTCCAACCCTGTAAGGGAGTTCTATAGTTAGTAATGACCAGAGAAGTTGAATTTTCTCCTCCTCTGGCCGCTCACCTCAATTTTCTCCTCCTCTGGCCGCTCACCTCTTATTGCTTTTTAGATTAGTTTTTACTGCTTTGTTCCTGCTTTGATTTACTGTTTTCATAATGTAGAACCTTTCTGTTTCATGTAGTATGTAATGAAATCTCAAGATTTCTCCGCTATCGCCTCTATCCAAGGATCATATTTGCATTTAAACATTTGGATTAGAATTCTATTTCACTGTGGAAGAACAAAGAAGAATCGACTATTTTAGCCTAGTTTCGCATAGTATTCATTAACATATTCTAGTTAGTTCAGTGTAGTTAAGTACGCGGAGCCTTGTCGACACTGCTTAGCTACTGTTCTGAATTTGATTCTGATTAATAGAGGTAACACAAGGGTAAAACCACTAATGGGATATAGATTGGGATAATTTACTAGGCATAGGCGTGGATCTATCAGGCCACAAAACTTCTAGCGACAGTAGATTTTCTTGCGTATAATATTCTAATTCTAGGCGTCATTGAAGTCTTGTTGTAAATCCCTTAAGGTCGAGTACCAGCGAAGTTGTTTTCTATTTTTAATAGTTTTATGCAATTATAGTCACTTCTTCTACCGTTACGTTTTATAAATATATGTTTCGCTCACTCACAATCCTCATTCACTCATTTCATTCATGAGAATCTAGCCATCTTTTAACAAACAGATCAGACTCAACATCATCTGAACGCCCTTACCGCTCACCTATTATCATACATTATATATAACTATAATCTATTACCCTTCGCCTCCGCTCACAACTGCTCTTGTTGTATCCATCGCTCGCTCTTTGCATCCACTGCTTACGCTTCGAACTGCTCCGCTTTACTTGCTTTCCTTTACTTTTTGCCTCAGTTAATATTCGGCTCCCTCGCAAGCGAGCCACTTTTTCCCGCTTTTCCAATGCATATCACTGGTTCAGCCTCTTGATTAAATTTCTCGACTTAAAATCCCTATGTTTGACCTGGAAGCTCACCAATCAAATAGTATAAATAATTATGATAAGCGATTCAGGGTCTACAACTACATTTCTTAATCCTTATCTAACCATGCACAATATTGCATACTTCACTCTATTTTCATAATTAACTCTGTGTACTTAAATAAAAAATCGTCCTTATCATGGAACCATGGGGTTCCCTCATCCAGACAAGTTAGCATAAAATTATTTGAGAAGCTTTGGACTTTACCTTTTAAAGTTTACAACCCAATGAAATAGGCTTTTCTTTCGAAGATAATCCGAGAAGCCGACTTCCACATGCTCACTGTCAGTAAATTGCT